CAATGCAATACAAAAGCTTGCTATATGAACATCTGACAAAGCTCAAATGGGTTTCTACTGAGAGACTTTCAAGGACATTCAAGTATTTAAACACCTGGTAGGTCTTGTAACATTGAAGTAACATTAAATATTAAAATAAACAAGTAACAACTATCATTATATATTGAAATATTGGTTCTTCCATTAGCAGAAAACACTGTCTTCATGTTGGAATCAAATGATCCTTGACTTAAATCATCACTTCGGAGTATCCACAATAAACATATTATAAGAAAACCTTTACAAAGACATATTACTTGGTTATTTTATCTGTGTGTTCTTGTAACAGTGTTTGCAATGACTTACATTCACTTGACAGAGTTAAGAAGCTGCGCTCAGTGATGCAGGGAATAACCTGTGAGATGATCGACGACGTATCAGACAGTGATGCTGGGAACATGGGTCAGGCTGTAACAGAGGATCCGCAGTGGCTCTCCAAATGCCAGGTATGTATTTACGTCACACAATGTACACACATATGTGAATAAAACACGTGTGGAGTATACCGATGGATTACGAATATCTGTTTCCAGGCAGGATGCGCTGCCCGAAAGCTGTTTGCTTCTTTGGAGAAAGAGAGAGCTGACTACTTCAAAACCATCACTGAGGAGGAGATGAAAACCATCTCCACATGCTTACTCCTTCGGCTGCCGTAAATAAACAGTCTTTTATTTATTTCACTTTGTTTGAAGGAGTAAGTAATGAAATGTTACTGGTCTCTATCTCTCTATCTTTTTCTTACAGGCCTTCGAAGGTGAAGGATTTGCCTGACTCTGTGTGTCCCACCTTACTCGACAAGATAGAAGAGGCCGACCTGAGCTCATTACCTCAACGTTCCCCGTCTCGCCCCGCATTCACCGAGAGAGCTCTGCGTTGCCTGGCTAATGTACACACAAGGATACAGACAACTTAAAGGAAAAGCCTAAACACTCAACAGAGCAGCATAAATGGCTCCTTAGCATACATGTGTCCAAGTCTCTAGTACAAAAGACATTTCCTCATTTGGTGTTTTGATGGTGATGTCAGTGTAACACACTGGTCTCAAAAGTTTGATTGGTATTTTTGAGTTGAGGTCTGACTGTGAAGACCACACAATAAACCCAACAAGCCTTAAAGTGAGAAGCATTCATTATGTTTCTCTGCTTATTTATTGTTCAGGTTTTTTCTTTGAATGGTCACCTGCCGGTTCCCCACACGCATTATCACTTGAGTCCAGTTTGCGCAACAATGATTTGAGATATTTGCTGTGTATCTGCAGGGGACAGACTTATCTATGTTGACCGAGGAGGACGTGTCCAGGCTAGGACCTTTTTTGTGTGAGCTTTCGCCTGCCCAACTGAAACCCATGAGAGGCCCCCTCATGGCCCCTGAAGTCCTCAAATCCAGCCTCCGTGCCATGGCTTCCTGTCAGCAAATTCCTCGTCGCAACGTGGCAGATTTGGTTCAGCTGGTCAACGAGACTTTTGGGTAAGAAATAATCCCTGTGAAAGCCTAAATTATTGCAAAAAAAGCTTTTTCGATGATGCGTGTTTTAAATCTCCTGCAGGGATCCATCTAATTGGTCACCTGAGACTATGGAAGAACTTGGTGCTTTGGTCCTTTTGGATGACAATAAGATATCTACTCTGCCCAATAAGGTGTTCTTAGGTCTTCTCCTTCACTATTATTTGTGAATGTAATTCACATGAAGCCTTCTGACCTATGTTCTCTCTCTTTCTCTCTCTATCGGGCAGCCTTGGTTGAAGGATGTTCTCTATTTCTTGAAGTCGAAACTCAAACACACCTCCAAAGCCCTGGGAAAGAAAATCTTTGATCTCACCACAACCACATCAAATGCAGCACGTAAAAAGAGAGCAGGTGAGGACGTCACACACAGGTGTTTGGTGCATTCTTCTACTGACTGCTCCTTTTCTCAACCTCTATTTGGTTCTTTCTTGTTTCTTATAGCCGAACAAGTCACTGCGGAGGTGATTGAAGAACTGGGAATGAATAACGTCTACTGGCCAGTCAAACAGCTGGATGGGATGTCAGACCAAACCTTCCTTGCTACTGTAGAAACTCTTGGAGATGTCCCTGACTACAACGCAGATCAACTGGCCGTGCTCAAAAGCAAAACAGATAAGGTACAGTGCTTGTAGACAAAAAGGAATTACCACTGTCTACAGTAACTCAGTTAAACTAAGAAAATGCTCCAACTCCCTCTGCAGTCAAAGGACAACATGATGGATATATTATTAATCTAGTGTCTTCGTTTAAAAAAAACTCCTACTTGATCTACATAGGATTTAAAACTTCAACATCCAGAATAATCCAAGTACAGAACTCCTTCAAAATAGGGATCATAAACCTTTGTTCAGCACTATCACTCTCTGGGTAAAGGTGTAAAACATTTAGGTGTTTCTGTGTTTTTCACAGAACTTGGGCCCAGAGATAACTGAGAGTGAGGTGAAGCAGTTGGGATGTTTAACTCGGGGATTCTCCAGTGAAGAACTCGAGACTCTCCCTTTGTCATTGGAGACACTGGAGGAAACTGCCAACTGTGGCTGGAATGAGTCCCAGGTGAAGTATAGAAGCTGCTTCATATACTCATTTACTGATCGTGGCGTTCACTAATCCAGATTTATGGTCTCATTAGATGGAGTCGGTGTGGAAGGGTGCTTCAAAATATAACAACCTGACGGCGAAGCAGCTGAAAGCAGCAGACATGGTGATGCTGAGCCGGTTCATCTGTGGCCTCGACTCCACTGAGATCAGACAGCTGACCATTGACACCTTCAAGTTAGTGCACCATACAGAAATAACTAGTCATTTTCAATTGTTCAAGAGAAGGAGGAAAAAGACAACAACTCTGTCTTTATCTTATGCAGCTAAAAATATCCCCTTAACTTCCACCATCTATGTCTCTGATGACTTTCCCCTATTATTATTATTATCTGGCCTCATTATTTTATTTAAATAAATGATACCTCTGAATGCTGAATTAGTTCGGTAGCAAATGTAACTATTATCAGTACTTTAATTTAGGTTTAGAAAGTATGCATCACCTGGTCATGAGCAGAATCAAGTACTCTGACGTTTTGAATGTTTGTTTGTGTGTCGCAGGGACGCTGTGGGCTCAGTGGGAAGTGTTGCCTGCTCCTACAATAAATTACAGGAGTTGAAACGTCTCGCTGTGTCTGCATTTGGAAATCCTATCAGCTGGGATGAAGCACAAGTATCTGAGCTGGGCAACATCGCCGGTTAGATAATCCCCTCTACTTTCAGTTGTCTCTAGGAAACTTAACCCCACTGTCGTATTCATCAGAAGTACTTTTAACTGTTGCCTACTGACTATTTAGACCGACTTCTTACACTATTTTTTATTGTATTTTATTATATATGTTGCATCGTTGGAGGAGCTCTGGTCATAACATTTTCATTGCCATTTCTACACTGTAGCTTATGAGCATTTGACATTAAAACCTTTGAATCTTGAATCTACTGCAGAAACTAGTTCTCGTTTTGTGCTCAGCAACTTCTGTTTGTGTCTTCCTCAGCTGGGCTGGACGCAACTGAGTTTGCTTCTTTAAACTCGTCAGTCTTCTCATTCATCAGCAAGCCCGGCATCGCGCTCATACCACCACGCATCTTTGCTGTGAGTCACTTATGGTCACTATAATTGTCAAGTGTATATCAGCTGGAAGTCAAATCTACACAAGTACTGTACTTTAGGTATTTTTGTTTTAACGTATATATATTCCCATTATATAACGCTTAATACTTCTGCCTCAAACAATTTCAAAATCAACCGACTCCATCAACTTTGCATTTCTGCAAGTAAATCTGTTAAAAAATGTAAATGGTCCTAAAATACATTGTTAATGCATCAGTCATAATACATGGTATACATGTACAGTATCACACCATGAAAGAGGGCATTTGTCATAACAAGTACATTAAGTGTTTTTATTTCATTTTTGCTGACTTATACTTACATAACAATGCTACACTATTTCTTCTAGCAAGGTATTTATAAATGATTTTACTTGAGGGATTGTCTTCCTGTGGTGCTGCAGATGGCAGCGCTGATACTGCACTCATGTGTTCTTCTCTGCATTTGTCTATTTGTTATGTCCACTTTGTGTACATTGAGTGTAATTGAATAAACTCATACTGGTCAATAAAGGAGATGTTGATTCTGTTTACCCCTAGAGTCTCAATGTTGATCAGCTGTTGTCTCTTGGACCTGACAACGCTGCCATGGTAACCAGTGGACAGCAAGCGGAGATGACAGACGAGCAGCTGGCCGCTCTTGAAAGAGCCGCGACCGGGTCAATTGACCAAGAGCAAAGAACTGACCATTCAGGTAAAAACAAACATGGACACTGCTGAAAATTGACATAGCTGGTTTATGTAAATCACTCACAGTGCGGAGTTCATTGCATCCATCTTCATGTGGCTGTCTTTCAGGAGCTCCATCAATGAGGGTCGAGGGGATCTCAGCCTTCATGATGCCACTGCTGTTCCTCCTCATGGGTTTGCTGTTGCTGTGAGAACAGAGAGCTGCACATCCCGCTGCAACACAAGCAGGAGCTCCTACCCACCAACATGCAGCCTCTTTATGTTATAGGGACATGTAACTCTTATTGGGAGGACGATGGCTTCTTTTAGATTTTCTGATATCATTTGTGAGTGCAGGCTGTACTAAACAACAATTACATACTCAGGATATATTTAACTGTGTGAGGAATCGTTATCATTGCTGTTAAATATTCTGTATGTATTCTCTATATCTCTATAAGAAAGTATATTTTAATAGGATGAAAGGTAATATTTAATGTGTGTCACTCAGGTGATCTCGTTGTAGGATGTCTTTGTACTGTAAGAATGACAAGTGAATATATCAATAAAGAATAGTAACATACGTTCTGGGGTACAGTTGAAATGGTATTTAAAGACAACCAAAAAGAAAATTAAAGAGATCATGTGACATTTTTTTATTTTTTTTATAAACACTTGGTTAAAAATAGTTGGATCAATGCAAAAACATTAAATGCAACATGGGGTGTACAAGCATTGGATAGTCTCCTGAGGAAGTAAACACAAGCAAACAGGTCACTGAAGGCTGCAGAACATTGAAGGGGTAATTCTTTAAGAAACAAAACAATGATTTCTCTTTTTGCAGTGCGAAAGACTAAATACAAATAAAAATGGGTATGATCTTCACGTTCAACATTTCTTTGCAAAACACAAGGAATAAACATAATGACACACATCGGATCTTTTGTTTACAGTAATCTCATAAAACTACATTTAGACACACACGTCCCACAACCAAATGCTAACATACATTATTTTACTTCCAACTGTTGCTCACAGAGAAGGAATACCTCCTTTAATGTTAATAGTTAAATGTTTAATAGTAAATTCCACTTCAAAATATAGTAATTCAACAATATTTCCTCTTTGTGTTAGTGTCCCTCTATTGCAGCTCAGCAAGGAAACACTATACGTAAAGAAACTCAAAAAGGAAATATGATGGGTTAACTACTTTAAGCAAGTCCCTGTAATTTAGTTTTCATATACACAGAAATGTATGGAAGCTAATGGCTCCGTTTAGAGGTGGGAACCAACAAACAAACTAACATGTATGTTTCTGAAAATGGCTGGCAATGAGAGAATATAAACATTAATTGTAACCGAGTTAACAGACACTAAACTGCTGCCAAGATTCTTTAAAAGTTAGTGAAAAGGACTTCACAGAGAATTACACAGGTTTGAAATGTCTCCTCAAGAGGATGAGAACCATTGACATCATGACAGACACATTCAATTGCTGTCCATCAACATTAAATAAAACAGCCATCGCTGGCACATTATTATGTGATGCGGTCACAGCAGTCAGACTACCTGTTTACGGACCAGGAAGAGGCTTTCATGCGAGCAGTATCATTGATGAACACACAAATGCAGCATTAGATCCTGAGAGTCACAAGTAGAGTTGAATCTCCACCAGTGAAAATCACACGTGATTGTTTTACAAACTGTTCACATACAGAGGACAGCCTCAGTTCTACCACTGTTCTTTGGTTAGTGCAAAAGTGAGTGTCGATGACAGTAATTAAGGCACTTGCGATCACATACCCACAATGCTCTTCCTCACATATTTGCCGTCTTACGGAGTTTTTCCAGAGTTCCTTGCGTTGATAAAAGCCATACCGTGAGTTCTGAAATGAGTATTCAGATCCGTTGCCTTTTCAAAATGTTTGCCGCAAACCCTACAGGCCAGCGTGCCCTCCTCCTCCCTCCCCAGAGCGTTGGAGGATTGAGAGGAGGGGGACGCTGGGGCAGAACCATCCAGGGAGCTCTTATCATCGTGGCTCCTGCTGTTACCTGGGGAGGGGGCTGGGTGGGCACCGAGGGACTGTTGCTCAGCTTCTCTCACTTTGTGGGAGATGAAGCGGTGGCGCGACAGGGAGGAGAGGGATGTGAAGCAGGCGCCACACTGTAAACACTGCTGACTGCCCCCTCCCCCCTCCGCCCCCCCTCGCCGGTGCTTGCTAATGTGCTGCAGGAACACAGCCTGGTCCGCCGTGGTGAAGCCGCAGGGGGCGCAGCGGAATCCAGACTCGGGGTGGGAGTAGGGGGCCGGAGCAGAGGAGGACGACCGCGACTTCTTCACTGGAGTCACCCCATCTGTGGACTCTTCGTCCTGCTCCATCCTCACAGCTCCCCTCGCTCTGCGGCCGGCCCCCACACTGCCCTCCTGCTCTGAGGAACTGTCCGCCTCATCTGTGCCCCCCTGTGACCGGAGGAAATCACCAATACTGCCGTTTACATCTTATTCAAGAGTTTCCTGTTTGACTTGTTAACATAAAGAGTGACTCACCATCAGTGTGTCCTGGCTGCCGGGCTCCGCTCTGTGTCTCAGCTGAACATGCCTCTCCAACAACGCTCTGCTGCTGAAGGTTTTCTTACTCTCAACACAAAACCTACAAACACACACACCACTTAAATATAACAATGTACTTTTATGATTGAGTGAGGGCAGTGAAGATCTGAGTAGGTTTCATATTGTTAGTTTACTTATATATTAGGAATCACAGTTGCTGCGTTGACACCGGACGCGATGTGAATATTCGCATCGCTCCAATCGCTCAAGTTTCACCGCGGCTTGCAGTTTGTTTTATCGCGTCATTCAAAACAGACCGAGCCGCGCCGTTGACGGACAGTTGAGGTTGTTTACACTTCCATGCAAGATCGTTTTGGTTATTTCTGTCCTTGACTATGGAGGAACAACTATTGCTGCTTTGTACCATCTGTGGAAGTGTATCGTATATCTCCGGGAACCCACTCACAGCCACAACGATCATCTCTTCCATCTTTACAACTGATCAACAGCAGGATGTCAGAGGGATGTCAGAGGGACGTCAGAGGGAATCCCAACGCTGATTGGCTTTCGCGAGAACGCGTCACGTGAATTTGACGCTCGAGTTGAAAAAATTGAACTCTCGCGTTTGACGCGGCCCCCTTCAATCGCGTGACTCGCGCCGCGTCCACCGCTTCATGCTCGCCGTCGGAGTGAATTTGCGTCTGTCTGTGTCTCTGCATTGACTTTACATGTAATCGCGCCGCCCCCAAACATCGCATCGCGTCCGGTGTGAACGCAGCATTACACCTGGATTGTTACCAAGTAATTGTTTAAAAGTCCAAGGCTTTACAACAGTTTACCAAAAACAAAGAACATATCTTGGCTTTTTTGCAATGATTAACTTGGAACAGTCTTTCCACTTCAACAACATACTGTTTTTTACTCTGCAGAATGTGTGTGACTCACTTGCAGCAAAAGCTACGACTCCCGGCTTTGTGTTTGTCTCTGAGGTGTCGTCTCATGCTGGAGGTGGTGGTGAAGGAGCTCTCACACTTGTTGCAAGGAAACTTCTTCAGATTCTACACAACACAACAACATATGGCATATTCATTTATAGCTCTGAAAACCTTTTCTTTTTACATCTTAAACAGCAGGGGATGCATCCAGACCTTGCTATGTTGCTCAGCCATATGGGAAATGTAGTCTTGCCGGTCGGTGAAGCGGGAATGGCAAGGCGCACACTTCCATCCTGTGGGGGTCTTCATCTTTTCTGCTGTCTCTTCTTTATCTTCATCCATCCATTCCTCTCCATCTGAGCTCTCCATCTTCACTGACGGCCGGGAACAAGAGGAGGGGGCTGGAGGTGAAGGCAGCTCTTGTTTTAATGGTGGAGTGTTATGAGTCTGAGGAACAGGAACGAAAAGAGAATGACATTACGAGGGGGATATATTTTACTTTATTTTTAACTTAATTGATACTATTTCATTGATTCCTATAAAATCATGCATATACCTTGTAATGGTCCAGAAGGGATTTCCTCTGAGAAAACAGCTTGGTGCACTCAGGGCATTTAAACACATGGACCTTCTGATTGGTTAAATGCGTGTCAAAATGGACGTAAAGCAGGGACTTGTTGGTGAAAACTGTGTCACACATGACACATTTATAGATTGACCTGTGAAAGGATCAAAACCAGGTTGATTATTGAAAAGGAAACATTTGTTTTCATTAGCACATCTTTGTGTATATGCGAGTGTGTATTTATACATGGTCTGTCCTTCGGTGAGGGTTGGATGTTGGGCGTTGATGTGGTTTTGTGTGCTGGGCTCAGATTTGAAAGCCATGGGACAGCTGGGGCATTTGTGGAACATATCACAATGAGCCTGTTGGATGTGAGCCTTCACTGAGTTGAGTCCTCCAAACACCACCAGGCAACTGGAACATCTGCAGAGAGAGAAAGAGTTTATTTAAATGTATTACAAATGTTATGGTACATGACGTGAATCCATCCTTAGCTAAACAATATGCATCAGATAGTATCAAACTTGGCCAATTGTTTACATAGTAAATGGCCCCAAACAATGGCAGAGAAAAGAGATAAACATAGCCATATAAACAGAATTGATGGGTATAACAATGATGTCACACCTGTATCCGATGCGGCGTGCAAAATGTAAACAGATCTCATCAAGGTGTGTTTGAAACAGCGGCTGCTTGGCCGTGCCCCCACAGTCAGGGCAGACGTGGGGGGGGCAGCCTTGGTGGATGCGCTGATGAGCCGCGGCGCTGCAGCTGTTGGGCAGCAGCATGGGAGGAGAACACTCTGTGCAAGGCTGGAGAACAACAGAAGAAGAAAGGCCAACAAATGGAGTTAGAGTTAACTTTCATACCAGTGATCAACACAGTTTATGTATGTTCTCTTTTTCCTCCCGCTCAAAAGACTCACAGAGGTTTGTGCTGGTTTGATTTCTTGGAAATGCTCGGCCACCTCTTCTTTGCTGCTAAACTGAGCCTGGCACTCAGGACATTTATTACTGATGAACTGCAATGCCTCTGCTTTCTTCTTGGATACCGTTTGATGTGGCTGGGGTTTTGTGTTTGGAGTGGCCTGGCCTTTTAATGGTGACGGCCCTGAAGAGGAAGACAAAAGAGACCTAATCATAGAGATTGCATACAGGCAAATGAAAATATATTCTGAGACAGCGATAACGTTGACCAACCAGCTGTGGGTTCCTGCTGGCCAATCATCTGCTCCACAGGAACGGGTTTCATCACCAGGTGTGAACACTGCATGATCAGGCCTTTCTCCTTGTGCTCTCTGGCGTGGAAAAGCAGGCTGCACTTGTTGTAGAAGGCTAGCCGCTTGGCACAGTGATTACAGGTCACCTCGATCCTCAGCGAGCGCCGGTCGTAGTGCCGCGCTAAACTCTGCTCCAGGGCAAAGGCATCTCCACACTCCAAACAGCGGTAACCCTGCAGGGGATCAGACATTCATCTTCTTCGATAATCACTTCATTGGAAATAAAGCCATGTAAAAAAAGTGCTGTGAGATTGTCATGATGTCATGATTATGGTATCAAAACCAATTACTCCTTCTGGAAGAGGAATGTTATATTGAAAATGTTTTACACATGACACTGTTCTTAATGCAATATCAGATGAGTTATACCACACACATCCTCTTCCAGCATATATACTTTTTCTTAAAACAAGTTATCATCTAACGGATACAGTTTGGCTGCTTGTCATTTTCAGATTTAACTTTAAGTGTCAAAGCAGCTGGTTCTACCTAATAATCTATTTATAGGTTTGTGGCAGGGGTACCTAGTTGCAGTTAACACAACTAGAGCTGCGACTAAGGATTATTTTGATTAAGAGTTAAACTATACATTTTTGGTTAAATTGTTATTGTTTTGTCCATAGAAAGTCAAAAAAATGCCTGTCAAACTAAGCCAAAGCTCAATGTTGCATTTTTAAATCACTTGTTTGTTCAGACCGCTAGTCTAAAAACCCAAAGCATTCAGTATAATATCATAAATGATCATATATCCAACAGCTGTCTAAACAGTGATAGTTCACCTGTGCAGGAAGAGGAAGGCCCCACTCTGCAGGAAGAGGCGAGCTCAGATCTGGTTTATAACTGGGCAGCAGGTTCTTGTTGTTGAGGATCTTGTTGAAAGCTTCCACCAGGTTGGTCTGAGTTTTGGAAATGATCGCCCCAGTGCTGTTTACTATGGAGGCTGGTCTGCTGCTACTTTGGGGCGTAAGCAGAGGTGAAGGTGAAGAAAGTGTCATCCCACTGTTGGGGGTTTTCTGACCCAGGCTGCGAGGGTTGATCCCACCCGGGCTGACTCTGGGAGTGGAGACAGAGATGGAGGGCAGGGTGGAAGCTTTAGTGATGCTCACAGCTGTTGAAGAAAGTTTAGGCTTGGTGTCCAGCACGGTTTTGTCTTTGACCAGACGGGCACCTTCCAGCGTTGCGGCACAGGCATTCTGCAGCATCGTCATCGCAGGCAACTGAGGTTGCTGTGATAACTCCTTCTTAGATCTTGTGTTTTTAGGTTCTGGCGAAGGTTTTGAACTGTTCACATTCTTGGTGGTTGCTCTTCCCCTTCTTTTAGGGGTAACACCAGTCACGGTCCTTGTGATGCTGCCTTTAGGCATTTTGATTTTAACTTTGAGGGGACGCGATGGAGATGAAACTGTTTCTGAAGCACACACAGACACAGGATCCTCAGTGCCAGCACCACAGCTCTCCTCATTTAAATTGTCTTCATCTCCAGCCATCTTGTCACTCTGCCCCTCAGTGTCACCCTGCCTGTCCTCTTCTCTGCACTCAGTTTCCATGAGCTCCTCTTGGAGACTGGAGTCCTTGTGGTTCTCTGCGGTTATGGCCGATTCAGAACTGCTGCTTTTCTTGGAGACAACCAGACCCATCTCACTGGGCGGTGGGCTCTCAGGTGAGTCCCTATCATCGATCACATGCTCTGGGTATGTCTCCTCTTGGACTGATGCAGAGCTAGAGGTGAGAGAGGGGAGGCTCTGCAGTTGAGGAGCGGTGGAGGGAGATTGGTGAGTGGTAGGTTTACCCTTCCCCTTGTGTTGGGGTTTAGGATTTGCAGGGGCAAGAGAAGGTGGCGGGCGAGGATGTGAAACAAGACAGGCAGCAGTATCAGGAGACCCAATGGCCTCAGACCGTAGTCTTGCTCTGTGTCTAAATTTTGGGGGGGAGGACATGACAGATTCTGGGCTCTCCTGGATCACAAGTGGACTTCCTAAATCTGGCTCTGAGTCATCATCATCTGACTGCATAACATGTCTAATTGTAGCCTTAATACCACCGTTTTGTGGTAAAGGAGAGGATGATGATTTACTCATTTCCTCCTTTTGAGGAGAGTGCGGAGGGCTGACTAAGTGTGGGTAGGGAGGAGTTGAGGAGTTAGGACCAGCACTAGTCGAAGACTGGGAGAAGAGGAGGGGCTTCAAACTGTTCATGACATCAGTCTTGTGCTGAACCGATCCAACCTCAGCTTTTGTATCACTTTCACCCTCATTCGAATTCAGTGTAGACCTCAATGGGGAATGAGTGAGCCATGGCTCTGTGGTGGACTGTCCTTGATCCCTGGGGACAGATGCTTCAAAGCCATTGGCAGCCTGGGGCTCCACAGGGGCTTCAGCAGACTTTTTGAGGCCAAGCTGTGAGGTGATGTCCCCAACCTTGACCTGAACCTGAAAGTTTAAGCCACTGTTTGAGGGATTGTCTGTTCTTTCCCTGACAGACTTCTCCTCCTCTTCAAAAGACTCGGACCGTACTGTGTTCTTCACAATAACACTGACCACAGGAGGTTCACTATGTGAGGCAGGAGGGTGGGAAAAGCAGGAAGGAGACCCGCTCTCTCTCTCCTCTGCATTAGTTCCCACCTCATCCCGCTCGTCGTCTGGACTGGATTGAATGGCTTCTTTGGCATCGATGTCAGGAATGTCAAAAGCTGCTAGCAAATCGTCAAAGTCTGGGGTCTTCATGTCCCCCATTGCCAGCACAAGGCTCAAAACCTATAAGGGCAACACATCAGTCAGAGCAACTCATATTATGTCAGTTCAATCAAAAAACGTTGACATGAAGAAAGAAGGATGCATATCCTTTACTTAAGAAAAGGTTCACTGCTTAAATACTACACTAGTAATAAAAGTCCGGCAATGTGCAGTAAAACGCACCCTGTCAAGTGTTTTAATGGATATGTTGCATTTTCGGCTGCATACGTTTAAGCTGAACTCATTTGACATATAATCCTTTATAAACTGTTGTACGAACACTGGACGCAGCAAAAATACCAAAATTACTTTTTTGACAGCTGGTATCATTAGAAAGAGTCAAACATGTTTGTGCATGTTATTTTGTTTACCAGACTTAAGTAATGAAAGTAAACATGTCTAAAGAAACAAGAAAGTCGCCGATTAAAGTGTCAAACTTCACTGTCATGTTGCAACAAGTGGGTCCTGCTGCTAACGACATGCTACATGTTAGCAGCTAACGTCAACCAGCCAACTTTCTACACGTCGTCAAAAACTACCTTTAGCTGCATCAGTGTAACACTCAACTAACGTGCTTCTCTTACGCTATGTTTAATGTGTTTTGTGCTGCAGATAAAGCTAGCATTAGCTCTTATTGCATTTGATGCAAATTACCTGCTAGTTGGCGAAGTTGGTTCCTGACTTTCCTCTTGGACGCATTAGTTCGACGTCACCAGATCGTGCGACAGAGACTTCCCAGGTGAGGCGCCTCCCACATGTTCACGTGTTGTTTACAAAATTGAAGATGCAAAAGCATTTGTAATTGTTACAATTTCAAGCTCAATCTCAGTAATATTTAACTAATAATAGTTACTGCAGTGATCTTTACAAAAAAATAAATAAAAATACTCTCTTACAGATAAAAGTTGTACATTCAAAATGTTACTTGTACAAAAGTATATTCCAATTTTTGTAGAATGGCCCATTTTATAAGAATATATTTGTATCATATTATGTGTATTGATTTATAAGTGTACAAATTGTTTTCGAAATATGATAAGTAAAGATGATTATCTATGGCCATATATATATTTTTTCTAGAAAAACAAACAAAACAAATATATATAAATTATTAGTATTATTAGTAGTAGTAGCTTTCGTAAGTAACATGACGTTTGTTCCATGCTTACATCCCTCAGCGGTTTATGCATCTCGTATTGACACTCGTAAACACCCAGTCATATTAATTATTCCCATCTTTCATCTTTAAATGCATGTGTAACTGGTTGCTAGCTGTGTTATATACCAGTGGTGTCTTTAACTTGATATTTTTGGGTATTGTGTATTAGTTAATACATTTTCTGCATCAGATGAAATGCCCCATTGTATTCTGTACATTTATTGAGGAAATCTGCTCATTTACTCAGTGCTTATATTACAAAATATTCAAAAGTAAGCATATCTGCTTGACACAAAACAATGAAATCACAACAGTCCTTTAACTTAAAGTTGAAAAAAGGCGAATATTTGTACAGTTAACAGAGCTATATAAACAGAAATGTAACTAAATGGTTCCTGTACTGAGGAGAGTACTGGTAATGACACATGCCGTGCAATTTTCAGTTTTTTTTTAATATATTAAGGTTGTCTCTTTGGATGTTCATTTCTTCTTTTCCTCATCCTTCTTGGTGTCAGATTTGGAGCCTGTCTGAGATGCCAGAGAGCCCATGGCGTTTCGGATGGCCTCGTTATTAGGGTCCACGCCAGGAAGGTTTTCCAGGACGCTCTGAAGGAACTCAGGATCCTGCATTACATCGTAGTCCTCTTCATCCTGGACACAGAAAATTACACATTTTATCTGTTATCACACACTTCCAACTGATGAAAATGACAAATGAGAATAAATAAAGACTTGTCCTTACCTTAGCCTTACTGGAGTCCATGTCAGCTCCTGTGTCCATGTCCTCAGCACCAAACTCTGCAAGATAAATGAAACAGAAATGTTGCGGTCATTTTTGGTCTGGGCTTTTTAATGAACTGCAATGCAAAAATAGGAACATTTCAAACTGCGTCTAATATCTAGTTATAACTAAAAGTATTGCATATTTGTTTTGTAATGCTTCATTGAGTACACACATTGCATTCAAATTTGTAAATGTGGACCCAAGACCAGTACAAACTGTTTTAGACCATTTTTGTTGAGTCATTTATCACATGTAAAATATGTGGATATGTTTTTCTAGGCTCCAAAGTATCCACCTGGCCAGGGCCACTACAGACAAACCAATCACTGTAATGTCAGCAAGTCAAGGTAATATTTATTTAAGTTTGGCTGTGGCTTATTTTAGATAAGAAAATACAAAGTATACATGTAAAATATATACAGGACACCAGCTACAACAACTGATTCTTCCTCCAAACTGCCTTAAACATTGTATTATATTGTGGATGTGATGCGTACTAAGTCTCAGCTTGTTTTAGAGAAAACTAGAAATCTATGATTAACCTGCTCCTTCTCCCTGCATGGACATCTGCAGAGCGTAGGCGATCTGTTCGTCCTCTGTCATGCGGCTGAAGTCTGGGATAGCTGGTGTGGATGATTCTGTTTGGGGAACAGACATTTTCAACAGGGCATCCTCAGACTCTGGAACAGAAAGAGGGGAAAACACACTGTGTGAACACACTCCCGCTCGGGGTAAAATGTCTCTTCTGAAGTAATATTGGCAGAATGTTCACACCATCAGCAGCAGGAGAGGGAATGCCAGTTTCAGCAGCGGATGCGACAGCGACTCTGCGAGCTTCATCCTCCTGTCGTTGTCTCTGCTCCTCCATAGACACCCTCAAAGCCTGACGATAAGAGAGGAAGAAACAGTCTAATACAAAACAAGTAGCATTACAACACACAAATATACAATGAAGACAGAACAAAATGTTGGTGTTGAAGGCACTTGTAAAGAAAACAGCAAAAGGGATGACTAGTCCTAAGGATTTTAGACACAAAATGCAAGAAGAGTTTGGATTAGGGCTGCTCGATTATGGCAAAAATCATAATCTCGATTATTTGGGTCAATAATTGATATCACGATTATTAAAAATTATTATCCATTTACTTTGAAAACATCAATTTATTGGAGAAAAAAAAATGTGAACAGTATGTTTTTAACAGTTGATTACCCTGAACTATAATTATCAGTATAATTCAACTGAAAAACCAATTAAAAAAAAAATTTATTTGAAAAAGAAAAAAAATAAGTAATAATAATAATAACAAAATAATCGTTTTATTTCAATTACGTTGTTTTCGTAATCGTTGCAAGCCATAATCGTAATTGCGATTAAAATACGATTGATTGAGCAGCCCTAGTTTGGATTACAATAAACACAACAGTGAACTATTTTTGCATCTTTCCCTGCTCTCTTACCAAGGCCAGCTCTGGATCTGCACTGGGATCCACTCCAAACTCAAAGTCTCCGGCGCCCAGGCCCAACGCAGCCCCCCCCTCTCCAGCCAGGATGGGTGAGGACAGCAGGGCATTAGCCAGACTGGGCCCTGGAGGCACTGTGACCAGGTGGGAGCCGGCTCCCTCTTTGCCATTCAGTGTGTTTATGAAGGACGTCAGCTTCTCTGTGTTCATCTCCTACATTGGTGAGAAAGAAGAAAGTTAGCATGAGGACTAGACAAGGTATCAGAGAAAGCAAGAAAAATACAGCACATTATATTATGATTGAGTGTGGGTCAAATATTAATGGAATAATACCTCCTCTCCAAAGTTAATGATATCCACATTGACCTTTTCCTTCTTTAGACGCTTTGCCATTTTGACCATCTACAAGAAAATAAAAATACGTAAGTGACAGATACACATTCTGTAAAAGTATTCTGCCTGGTTGTCAGTATCAAAGCATGCGTAACATGTTGACTAATGTCAGAATGCCGCTCACATCTTTGTCGTTGTCCTCCACCGGGCTGCCAACAAAAGCAATAATGCGCATCTTGTGGTTTTTGCCCTGTCTGTGCTTCAGCGCCAACTAAAGAGAGAACCATACAAAATATTAACTGACAAAATGCATTGAAGTGACAAATAGGACAAAATATATTTTTCAACACAGACATTTTTCCATTTGATGCAAGAAAAGCACAGGTGTTATTACATAATGATGGTTGCATTATATTTATGCATATACATATATACATATACATATGTTCCTTAATTTCACCTTGCACATCTTTTTTAGCTACTTTTTCTGTTCAGGATGAACGCAGTGTGTTATGAAGTTCACAAACTCACATGTGCCACCCTGATGCCGGTGCAGAAGCTAATGTTCCCGATAGGCTGCACAGCATGTAGCTTTGACAGTATCCTGCCTGTGTCTGGTGTCAGCGTAGTCAGCACCTCACAGTTGCTGAATGGGGAAATAACACTTTTGTAATTAATTTCAGTTACATATGTCAAATGTCACTAAGCTAATTTTAAAACACAGTGCCTCTTACTTTGCCATGGTGATGAGGCCCACGTTGTTTTCAGGGTTGGTGCGAGTCTTGGAGTGACAAACCATATTAACTGCATCCTGCTGGGCCTGTAGTCTGGTGGGCAGAAAGTCTCCATTGCGCATATACTCACTGTTGTCCACACTAAAAAAGAAAAGAAAAAAGCAGCATTATTAATGATGTATATTCCATTGATTTGACAAATATTTGTACATTATAGACCACAATTAATAGAACGACAAGACTCTAAAAAGAACACTGTTTAAGTGTTTTAAGGGGCAGGCACTGAAACAGTTCGTTATAATAGCAGTTTTCAATTAATTACTTTAGCAAAACAGAAAATGACAACCATTCAATAGTTTCAGCTTCTCGAAAAGTGAGGAATTGCAGCTTTACGTTGTACATTTGAGAGTCTTGGATTAATGTTGGACAAAGACAAGCATTGTGAACACATTGTTTGGGGAAATATGATTGTCACTTTTTTTGGAATTTAAAGAGAAGAAAACAACATTATATTAAAAAAATGAAGGATACGTTTATTGTTATAGCCCGAGTGAACACAACGGGTCATTTAATTTAATGGAAATCAATGCAAAAAGCTCTGCAGTACTGCTGCCTATGAAAAGTATTGACATTGTTTAATAAAACAAGGTCTTTCATGTTGTGTCTTGCCTTTAACTGCATGCAACATTGACAGACAGACTGTATTTATGATAGCTGGATAACACGGCAGCATTGTTGGACAAAGAAACTGAAACAACAGACCGATGGATGTAAAGACAGTAGGTTGTATTTGTAGTTAGCTAGCTAATGCTAACGCTTTAAAGCCATGTTATTTAATTTGAAGCACACTATTTAGTTTACAGTTGAGTCACATCAACCTGAGTTAGCGACACTACATTGTTTTCTCGTTTTTTAAGTATAACTTGTCAAATAACGTAGATAACAAGTCGTTTTGTGTGCTGGAAGCTGCAACTGGCTAACGTTGGCTAGGTTATAGCTTAAGCATCTTAAATCATAAACAAAACAAGCAAACCTGTACAGTTCAGGCAAACTATATCAAAACATGCTTATTTAGTTAACGACCGTTTTTTTAAATAAAGTTAGCAGTCTTAATATTGAACTCAAAACATATTCATAATTTCTTACCAGACCATAGTACTTTCAAGCACCATCTTGATGTCTGTGGTTTACGACGTCATCGGGAGGGTTTATGGGTAATGGTGTTTTTTCATATATAAAAAAACAACTTGAATGATGATTTATAATAAAAA